AGAGGCCATGCCACCTATAGAATAGACTGTAGAGCAGTGTGCGACTGCAACTGGTATCGTTCCATCTAATGTCGACATGGATACCATCCAGAGAGGGGTTTTTTATTAGTGTGAGATATGTTCTAGGAGGTTCCGGAGCAACATGAATTGCAGGTGCATAAACAAACGGTCAATCCAGTAAAATTTAATCGGAAAATCCCAGCTTTAAGGCGCCCAAGGTGGACTGTAGATGAAATGCCGTTATGACTGAAGCGGAGTTTGAGGTGAAACCTGGTGTGCGAAATGTTAACGAACTCAGTGCCTGGAATCTTGAGGGGAGAACAGTGAAGGCCACTAAAAAGCGACGGCAGACGATAGTGTACACATTGATCCAGGAGGAAGTTGCTAAAGAGCATCCGGTTGGTCAGGATAGAGCTCCACAGGAAGTGAGGGAGAAGCATGAATGGTTGTGTGTTTTGAGCTGCAGGGACTGCTGCAGACAATTGAGGAAGACGTTAATAAAGGGTACCCCTCTCCACTTCATCGCCCTGATACCGGTTGCAGCACCATGTTACCCCTTGAGGGTAGTTTTGGCTAACATCCGTCTGAGGCAGGTGGTAAAATAAGGAGACCCACTTAGACCTCTGCTGTTCAACCTGACAAGAAGATAAGAAAGTGTGGTCCGGTCGTCAATGAGATCGTCGGGGGTAACTTAGAGATGTGGCCATTTGTACTTGAGGCCCGAGGAAGCTGGTGGTCGCCAAAAAGATCCAAAATCTTCAAAATGTCACCTGCATAGAGATTCGTTTCCTGTTACTCAATGGCATTCAGGTCTCCATTGTGATGATTCATGGATTTGGAAAGAGCGTCAACTAGTTCACAACACCAATCCGTTCAGTCTCGGTATGGCTGCCGAAACCGCGATCTTGATTTCCTTCCGGCGCCATGATCAAGGTCTAAGTCCCTATATCTAACACCCATGCGTGGAAATGAAGAAAAGTTTCGTCTGTGCGGTCGAGCCGTGTTTTGCTCCCGCTTCTATGCTTTTATATACCTTGTATCACACGGAAACAAGGAGTTTTGCAAGAGAGTCTACGCTACCACTGGTCAACTGGTAAGACTTTACATTTTCTCTTTCTTCTATTCTCCTGGGTGGTCCGTTATCAATCCTTTTGGAGGGACTTCCTCGGAATTTCCTCGTTTATTCGGAAGGAAAAATACCGCCCGAAAACGATTCTGTCAAGGCCTGCTTTCTGACAACAAGCACTGACTAATCAAAACGAAGTGTCTTGCAGCATTTGGAGATAGCTCTGCCCACACCTCCTTTATTACCGATCCACTTGACTCCTAGCTTAGTTTGCCAGAATTGCGGGAGTACTTCGAACACGTGCCCTAAATTAACCAATTGGCGACCGGTGTTAGGAGGGCAGCTCATTTGCATTGAACTGAGACTGACCTCGTCTCCAATATCGAATTTGGTCATTTGTTCCCAATCGCTTGCCTCGGTCGCGTTTGGACCAACCACCACCGACTTGGATAGCTAGAAGAAACACCTCGCCGAATAGAACTGCATGGGATCTGATAGTCCGTTTCCATCGCCGAAAACTCATGAACCATTTAATGACGGACCGTTCCTGTATTTGAGACTAGTGGACGAGCTAACCTCCCTCTGAAGAAAGTACCAAGAATGTATGGAAAGAAGGACCTTGGGAGTTGCATCTCTTGGGGAATCTACTGAAAAACCTCTGCTCCTAGAGGCAAAGACATCGATCATCGACTGTAGAGCGTTCGCAGTCCGGTAACCCACCAAACGCAATTACGGAGGCAGCCGCGTTGCCCCCGCTTCCGCCCCAGAGGAGCCGGTTTCGGTCTTGTCCACAAGAAATGCGGCAGTGGAAACCGTCACCGATCACGCATATGAATCGTTCTATACGGAGCCTTTTCACTGTCCTCGCTGCCAATATATCACACCTTTGAACTACGAACTGCGTCTACATCTTCGAAGACACGACGTCGCGAAAATCTCGTTGAGGAGTTCGAAATGCCAATGGCTCTGACTTCTATTTCTGCAGTTGCTGCACACTTCTCCAAATGCAACCGTTACAGAGCCTGCAACCCAACCAGCCGAAATGTCTTGAATTAACGTTTGTGAAACTTGCCAGCGGTCATTTTTCACGGTTACAGGTTAGCAACTTCATCGCAAGAGGACACATCCTCTGGATTTTGCCATAAACCGGAAGAAGCAGATATAGCTGCGGTGCTGTGTAATATCATGTGTGCACCATTAAAACCTCATCAGAGGCTGGAACTGATACGCAGGTACCTTTGATCTCGACTAAGCTGCCAATCTGCGATGGTATACCCACTCTTTCCATAATAGAGGACGTAGATAAGACTGTTAGAACTGCAGTTAAGGAATTCCTCAAACTGCCACCCGATAGCCCGCACAACTCCTTCATCTACCTGTCAATGAAAACGGGAGGGTTGCAGATACCTGAACATGTCGAGGTTCCGTAGTTTCAATTCCTGAACAACATTGGCAAACTGCCTGAGGACGAAGCCGCCCTTAGTCATTAGTTAGCGGAATCCGACCAATCGTTTGCCAACAACGACGGCTGTGAAAAAGGTAGACGTGAAGCATCTTACTGCAGAATCCGTCACCTCTGTTAAGACCGAAAGAAGACTCCAACTTGTTGTCGAGTTCCACCAAAGCCATCAAGGCAAGTCTTTTCTGGAGTTTCATGAACATGGAGAATCCAACAACTGGATTGCGGGCGAAATTACTCATATAGGAATAAAGCTGCGGAATGACCTATGTTTTAGTGAAGTCTGAAGAGTCAATACTGCGGTGCAGATATTGTCAATCTCGTGGTGCAGCAACCGGCGAAACTGCAGACCACATCTGCAGAAACTGCCCTGCAACCCACGGTTTGATGGCAAAGAGACTCAGTTTATCTTTGACTAGCTGGACACAGCTCCTACAGGACAAAGGCTTCGAAGTTCAAAAGGAGCCAAGAAGATTCGATATTAAAGGCCAACGATATAAAGCGGCTATAATCGCCAGGAACGGCAGTAAAGTGCATATCGTTAACGATACTATTTCGTGGGAAATGTCTGAATCAATCTAGCTAATCGCGCCAAATGAGGACAGCTTCTGTCGGTCAGTGGGTGAATGGTGGCAAAAAAACCCAACAACCTATGTAATGCTCAACGCATGACGTTATTCGAAAAATGGGAGTGAAAATCTCATCTGGACAGAAGATCTACTCTGCCAAAATGTGCTAAAATGGACAGTGCAACTCTTCACAAGCACATTAAGTCAGAAAGAACAACGGATTGCTCACGCGAACGGTCGATAATATATATTGTATAGTAAAAATGTTTCTGTTATGTGCTGTCTCTTGTTTAATTTTATGCACAAATTTATTTATTTTCGCCGTACTTCATTTTCAATTATTCGTCAATACTTTTTTATCTTTGTTAGATCTTGTATGCCGTAGAAAGTTCATTTATTTATTCGCGTATTGTCGACCGATTGCATATGTATAATATTTATTGTTTGAAATACTTTCGTACGAAAAATTGTGCTAATGCGACCAGCTCCAATGGAGGTGGGAAATCAATAAACTTGAACAGCCAAATGTCTCGTCTCGTCATATGAATGAATGGATCAGAGATTCTTACTTTCCCTCTTTACTCTCTGGCGCCAGTCTTGAAATAATCAGCGGGAAAGAAGACCCTGTTGAGCTTGACTCTAGTCTGGCTTTTCGAAGACACAAATGGTGTAGCATAAGTGGAAGATTGGTTCAGTTGGTCGAAAGCGAAATGCCATTATTTTTACTGGTTCATCAGTAATTCGGTGAAGTAGATGAAGAGTCGTTTAATGACTCGACATTTTTTGTATTACGTATTGGCTTGTTGTTATTTACTATCTACCCCGAAGAGAGTGTCAGACGGGGAGTTTGATTGAGGCGGTACATCTATTAAAATTTAAAACATGTGTCATATGGAGAACTCAGTGAGGTCGAAGGCCTCACGAAGAGTGACAACTTAAAGGCTCCCTTGATTTATATATACAAACGTTTAACCCAATCTTATGGGTTTACTAGATACTGCTGATTATCGATACTGCCGCTGAGATATTTATTCTTTTTTAGTTCTCGATACCGGATTGCACCGTCCCCTTGCTTCTACTCGCCTAGAGGATCATTTAAGTAGGCCACGGTTCCATGGTATTTGAGCACTTACGGTGCATGGGTGCAAAACGTCATCACTAGGAGGGCCGAACAAGGGCCTTTCCGGATATCTGCAGATATGCTGTGATCCGTAGGCTTTTTCATACACAAAAATAGAAGCTGATCTTATGGGTTTACCATATTGGTGACAATATCGTCGGCAAAGTAATCACGCTCAGTATGAGAGGAAGCGCTGGTTCCAATATTTGGTTTGTGTACCTGGTCGAAAAGCCAATGGGGCGAGTCTATCGTCAGTTGGATTATGGTTGAACGCCTCTAAGCCAGAATCTGGTCTAAAGTGGAAACGAAGATGAGCTGTCTGTATGCATCTAGATCTGCTAAAACTAAAGTTCACTTCGAATATAGAGGTGGTAATTGGTGAAACGTCGGTAATCCACGTTGAGTGTTTTGATGTTGGACAATTTCCGGATATACGAATGAAAGCTGTATTTGACGACTGAATCATTTCTAAAACACCTAGGTAATGGTTAAGATGTCGTATTCTGTAGAGCAGGTACCATATTGCGATCGGGTGAAACTATGCCTATGACCGTACGTTGTTTTGTCAATAATATCCAAACTAAAGGTGTAGGGCAAGGGTCTGAGCAGTACTGATCGACTTTTTATTCAATTATCGAAATTGTAGGCAGTTATATGAACCTATTACCAGATCATATGATAGAGGGTTGAAAAATAACTAACCGTTCTATCGACAGAAATAAATTTCGGTTAATTTAAATAATATCAAGCGACATATTGTACAGCATTGAAACTTATAATTAACCCTCTGCCACTCATAGGCTTTAAGTAAGATTCAATATCAGATATCCTGAAAAAATTCAACCACTCTGTTCTGTATGGTGGGCTTGTGTGCTACAGGTCCATTGCTCAATTTAAACCCATAAACTAAGACACTGTAATGATTTAATCATCTACCATCAGCTGTGGCGGAGGGTTACTAGTAAACTTAATCCTCTGCCATAACGTATATGTTACAGGGCTATTTGTTAGTTAAATCTGTATTGCCTAGTTATTGTATAGAGTTTAGCAATAAAATTTAACCCTGTACAATTTTTGGTCTTTGAGTAATATAGCGGATCTTTGAAGGTCAATGTCAAGTCACTTTGAGGAGTTTTTTCTCAGACTGGATCACCACGACCAGTAGCATACATTGCATATCAATATTAACCTGAATCATGCACGGTTTTACATTGTTAGAAATAAATTCAGTTGAGCTGTTATCATAACTTTAAAGTTTGAATCGATGGGCCGTGATGCAAAAGGGAAACTACTGATTGGGTACATAATCAGTTGGACAACAATTAATTCAATTTAGTTCAGAGCAATTTCAGGCTCATCACATTTCTTTTATCAATTACATTGTGAATCAGATCATAGGGCTCTGTTACTTTGATATTAGTCACTTGGTGAGCGGGAGTTAGTTTCATGCATGATCGTCATCAACACGTCCATAGTTCGATGACCAGCTGACTACCCTTTCTCGCCTTTACAAGTTCGTCAAAACAGATATACAGAAATCTTGTCTTTGACGAACAATCTTGGCAGAATTTAAAGATTTATTCTATCCTAGCCGCTCTTCGACGTCTTCATAAATGACTCTGTTGTCAATCTTCAACTTAAATGCATCCATCACATGCGCCTAAGAAAACACTGTATCTCTGAGGTCTAGAAGTACAAAAACGGCACCTCAGCGCATGCCAATATCTTTCAGCTCATTGTATGTGGTTGAATATGTGAAAACCGTCCAATGGTTAAGGATGTGTTTAAGGCGAAATATGAAGAACCAGTTACTCCCTAATCAATAACAGTTCTGTCAGCTCAGATCGAATCGCCAAACACTTATACAGCACAATTTGTCATAACACGGCACTCAACGGTGGATCAGTTATGACGAATGATTGCTGAGCTTCATTTAACGTAAGGCGATTAAGAAGCGATCAGCCTCCGAGCTATGCCATTAAAAAATTTGTCTTACCGTGCATTATGCCAGTATACAGTGACGAATCATAGTCATTTTTCTTCTCATATTAGCTTGCTTGAAGGCATTAGAAGAGATTACTGTAACGTATCTTTAGAATGAGCTGTTTTTTTCACAAACATTTGCTTTAGTACAGAATTGGCTGTGTTTTGCCACACCACTGCTGGGGGCAAAACATTGAATTTTAGTGATACTCATCCAGTGCATGATGAAGTTTCACAGTGCTCTTCACGGATATTGTCCATCTGTTTCAGGTACTTCAGCGTATTTGCGAAAATCGAGCTGTGTCGCAGCCACAACTCAGAATCTTCAAATTCCTTTTGAAGCTAAACATAAATATTTGCAGTTTCTCAATAGTTGTCTTTACTAATATTATTTATGTTTGCGGTTCTGCAGTTGTTTCACGAGTGCTTCATGAATTCCGCCATTTGTTAGTCAGGTTTGAGCCTCACAAACCGATCCTGTGTTTTTGTAATAGGCAGACCGTATTCTTTTGCAAATTTATTTCCTATTGCTTGTTGCCTATTTTTGCTGAAAAAACATAATTTTTTGGTGATGCTAATCAACTAATGAACTAATAACCTTCATTCCATTACTTACGGCTACTCTTATTAATTATTAATTTTTCGTTCCAAGTGCTAACTCCCCCTTTCTTAATTTCAATTCATCAGCTTTGCCAGTTCAGTAAATAAGCGGATTTTCCTCATATTGGCAGCAAAATGTGCGAAAACCGTGATGAAGATCCTCAAGAAGTCGTTCCTCCAAATATGCGGCACATAGTTTCCCCATTTTATTAGGTGCATGATAGCGTTGTTCTCCAAACAATCTGAAAACTCCCTGTCATCCAGATGCGCGAATGAAGCGAGAACCAGTCCTGAAAATAATCTGGTCAACGCGTCACTTCCAAATACTCTAACGGAGGTTTCTATTATGAATGTTTGACATTCACATTCGTCACTTGCGTAAGCAAAATTTCTCTTCATGCTAAGAGAGTAAGGTTAAAACATAAACTAAATTTTATTTCATGTACATGATGAAAATAAGTTATGAAAACTCTTCATTGTAGAAACAGCTCCATATGAACATAGGATTGTTCAGAACGAGAACATTAATCAACGTTTCAAGCCGAACGCATAATTAAAGGCAGAACTGAGCCCAAAGCCATAGCCATCAGCACGACGTATTCTTGATCACGAGTTAAACAGAAGATCTGTAGAGATCTGCAAGGTTCTAGGAAGGAAAGATATGCTCGAACTTTGCAGGACGTCATTTTTGCGCAGAGGAAGTGGAAGGGCGTAGCGATGGAGGAATGAGTTGACAACTTGTTCCAGAGAATCGCTGATAGCCGTCTTCAGGGCCGGTAGATCCTTGGCCTCTGTTAGAATTCGCGCATGAACCCGGTGCACCGTGAGAACGGTTTCGATGGAGTTGACACTAGGTCTTATTCTGCAAGCAGCATAGACCAGTGGCGGAAATAGACAAGGCAACAAAACAATACAACTCACTTATTACTCTTTGCATTGGCCACGAAGCTGCCGTTACAGTTGAATTTCATTCGGATTTCACCACCAGAATCGGATGATTTCCGTTTTCCTTCTGAAATTAGGTCGACGGTGCCCTGTGCATTCCACAGAGCATGACCATGCACGAATGTAACCGATGGAGGGGTACTCAGTCGACCAATCGGTAAAAGCTCTGGTAGCCCTGGCAGTCTTCTGATTTTGAAGCTGCTGCCAAGCAGAGGCTTCCTGACCGGTTTATGGAGGGGTTTCAGTTGGGCGTCACTTTTGAAGCCATGAACGAACAGTGCGTTGAACACTTCGTCGCTGATCAGAAAATAGTACATGCTGTTGTTTGTAGAAGGCGAGGCCAACGGAGGCGGGTGCAGTTTGCATGACGTGCCAACGGTTTTCACGCATCCCTACAAGAAACGTATGGCCAAATTTGTCTCAGACCCTGTGACCAACATTGAGGTCTAAGTGAAGAGCGTTTTTCCTCACAATTGGATATCCCGAAAATATTAAGCCAACGTCGAAGTTGATCCTTGTGCTCGGATCAATGGAAATCGTGGTCGGGAACTCATTCAGAAATTTGTTGGCCTCTACCATAAGGAACGAACGGGTCGTGTCGCACAGTGTTTGCCAGATGTGTGTCTTCAGCTAAAAATACGATGATTTCAGATAGACAAAGATCTGTACCTTGTGTCCGATCTCTTTATTTAAATCGATCGTCGTTGAGGTGCCATTGGACGATTTCGTACGGCTCAAGCGCATGTTCATTGCGCACTGAATG